AGAATCGACGAGTTAAGCAGGCAACTCAGCAATGCAAATGAAGAATTAAGACATTTAAGGACGGAATTCGGCAAAGTTACTGGAGATAACGAAGCGCTTATTCATGAAAATGAGAGTTTGCAGGACGAACATGGATGAGACTGACGAAGACGTAGAGATGAAGAATCAGATGATGATCATCGAGGAAAGTGAACTCGATACAGTAGCGATGAAAGCGATGAAGAGGTGTCTTACAACAATAACGCGGCTAGGGTTCGTTTAAAATCTCTTCTGAATTCTAATTAAAATAACTTTAATTCTAACCGAATTTTAATTAAATATAACCGACATCAATCAAATTAACTTAAATCAGCTTTATTTTTTTTATTATTTAGATTGATATGAGAACGATTTTAAAAACATTGCTAAACTATCTCGAAATGAGATACGATCTTAAGTTCGACAGTGAAGAAAATACCGAAATATTACGACAAGTAATACCGCATCTCGGCAAAGCCTTAAAAAGGTTCAAAACAACATACAAACAAATCAGAGATTGGCTTGGTTCGCTTCACAGGCATCGACGAGTTCAGTTATTATATAAATAACGCGGTACTTTAGATCGTGATAATTGGTGATTTCACAAAAATAATCGTACCAGTGAGGTAAATATAATCGAAATTGATTATTTTTTTTTAAGAAAAATGAACTTCGATTAACATTCGATATCTTAATATAGAAAAAGGCCAGAAGGATTAAACATACTAATTCGCTTTTTGATTTAAGTGATGAGAGAGTTTCGAAATATGATAAGAAAGAGTTATTGAGGATCTTGGGAGACAATCGTTATCATTCTTCCAAAGATTCAGTGACTGATTCAGAAGAAACGGGAACATGAATAATTAATTTTATAACACAAGCTAGATATCAGATGAGCTTCAATACTTTTTTAGAAATTTAATTATAATTTTGTTAAAATTTTAACTAATTCTGATATTTAATTTTATTAGTTGAGGGCGTTATTGCGAGAGGTCGACCGTCATGCGTTCTCGCTGCAAACTGCGCAATTAATGAGAACTCGACATTATAGCGACGATTTTGTGATACATATTCAATACCCTCGAAACGCTCCTAACTGGACATTTGTAGATCAAAATACTCCAGTAGACACTGATTTTTTGGCACCAGCAACCGAAGTTGAAGGTAAGATGATGATATTGAAGAAAAAGAATAAATTCGGCATATCATAATTTATAACGAATTTTATTTGATTCTTAGTTTATTTTATATATATTTGTATTATTATATTTTATAATTATATTTTATTATATATTTTATTTTATATTTTAAATTAATAAACCATTTGTTATTAATTCGATTAAATTACGTTATTATAAAATAAATAAATCATCAAAAAATACGAAAATAAATCGTTTAAATATCAGAAATTTTATTTCGCTGATTTTGCAATTTCTTATAACTGAAATATTACCAAACTTTTTATTAACAAGTCGAATTTTGTTTGTTTTGTTAGTTGAACGAATTTAAGTCGATTTTATCAAACATATAGTCAAAATATTACTGAACATTTTATTAACAAGTTGAATTTTGTTTGTTTTGTTGGTTGAACGAATTTAAGCCGATTTTATCAAATATATAAAACAACTACCAATCGTTAATGTCGAATGTTTTTTTGTGTGGCATGGAAATGGGTAACTTCGGCTATTACTAAAAATGCCGATTGTTTTGACAATGATCAGTAGAAATTAGACTATATTTTGGCCAACATTCGGCACTTTAAAAAAGTGACGAAATAGATTATTTTGACTAGTGTTAATCGCATGGATTTTAAGAATTTATTCCGTTGTGATTTTTAATGTTTTCTTAATGTGGTTAGTAATCGAACTAATGATCTTATTTTGGCGACTCAAACAAAGTAGTAGTTTAAAATTCTTTTGGTAATTCAAACCTTTCGTGAATTAATCTGTAACAGATTAAATAATAAGTAAAATCATTGACTTTTTTAATTCTGATAATACAACTTCTCTTGGAAAACTAAAGGCATTGTGAAGTGAACTTTTTTCCAAAGAACTTTTTGAAGAGAATATTCTTTCACCTCAACAAAAAGATTCAAAAACTCAGAGAAGTTCGATGTCTTAACTGCTTGTATGTATTTGTAATAGTGTAAAATGTAGTATATTATAGTTTATTTTTCTTATTTCTTTTAAAAAAATTTTAGAGAACATAAAACATAGCTTCACAAGATTGGAGATTCAAATACAACAAATCTTTGGCATCATTTAAAGCGTCATCATCCAAAATAAAAATCCAAAAAAATTAAAGCACCTAATAGATAAAGGACAAAGTACTTTAGATGAATTGTAAGTGTAGAAGAGACTTTAAATAATGTATGTATTTTATTATAAAAAAATATATTACATTAATTTTTATCAAATTTATTATATTTTTAAGTTTACAAAAGATTTTCGTAAATTTATTTTAAAATGGATGATTACTGATAATCAACCATTTACAATACTTGAAAACATGTATTTTCAACAAATGGTAAAGTTTTTAATTCCAAGGCATTAATTCTTTTAGCAGATACAGCTAAAAAAGATATAATAGAAATTTTTGAAATACAGAAGGTAATCATGAGTATCCGAATAATAAGTATTTTTTGTTTATTCACTTTGTTTACATATTTACATATATTTCTAATTTAAGCATTTGTTTAGGATATAAATGGATGTCAATCACAATAATAACAAATAATTTTCTTTCGAACAAAAATGGTTAAAACAAAAGAATTGAATGCTGAACAATATGGGGCAATTCTTTACAGCCACAAACGAGGTGATTCATATCAAAAAATTGCTGACATCGTACAATGTGATAAAACAACTGTTCATGATAATTTTGGCTGTTGGGATGTTGGAGCACACTTTTTTGTTAGTAATGAAAATAGTGAAACTGTTGCAAAAGCTTTAAAGATAATTCGGCAGTTTGGAAACCTCATTATTTTTTAGCTGACCAAAGTAATATTGCTTTTCCTGATTTACAAAAGGATGAGCAACAATGTGATGTAATGTTCATGTAATGTGAATAGAATTTATGAAAAAAAAGTTCAAAGCATAACTATAAGGCAATATATATTACGAAATTATGCAAATAAAACACATCAATGGGCCCTTTGGTCACGCCAACATTCACCTCTTCTTTTGCAAACAACAACAAATGCACTTGAATCATACCACAGTGAATTGAAAAGGACAACTGCTTCAAACTATGGATTAATAGGTACATTATTTATTCTTAACTATTGGCTTAAAATTGCAATTATTCTAAATGTAATAATCGCGAAACATTAAATTTTTTTATATTTATTAAATAAATATATTATTATTTATTTAAAATAATTGCATGTTATAAAATCATTATACTTGATACAAAAAAAACAATTAGAATCTGAATATGCTGCCTTTGAATTTCGTTCTAAACGAATTTCTGTTGTTAGTATTGATCGTGAAATCCCTGATCATATTTATAATTTTCCATTTCCTAAGCTCATGCTGTTGAAAAGCGAATAGAAAAGGATAAAGACGTCTCTTCATTGTTATTGTCTATTTTTTCGTTGATATTTACTTCCTTGTCAGCATATATTTCATGAGCATATATATGGCGAAACAAAGTTGCTGACAAATGATGCTTGGAAACAATTTCAAGAAATGTTTACAGAAAATGGATTTGAAATATATGAAAGTCGTGGATTAGTAGAAGTAAACATTCCTGAAAAAACAAAGGCTGAGAAAGAAGCAGAAAACAGACGCTTAACTGTAAATGAATTACTTGAAAGAACACGTAATGTATATTGGAAAACTGAAGAAGGGGATGGGACACAAAAGTCTGAATTTATTAAATCATTAAAGGCTTCTTCGGAACCTATTTTAAATATGTAAAAGCAATAAAATAAAAGTTAGTTTTATAAAATAAATCTTTAAAACACTAAACATTAACGTTAAGAGTGTAATTACTTACCTCAATTAATAGACACGGACACTCAATGTTGTTCTGCAATTTAATAAAGTGGTCGGCAAATTAATATATTAAAATTTTTATTGATATATTTTACAATTGTGTAAGTTTTCAACTGAAGAGGCCAGGCCATTCTGCAAAAGTAAAATGTAACGGCATATTTTTTGTTTATCGTATATTTCGACACAAATCACATTGTCCCTAATTATGAGACGCACCAGGCTTTAACCGTCCCCCGTTTATTGGTAGTCACCAAGTGACATCTCCTCAATCAAAGAGGCAATCTCATCGCCTCATCATAAGGGTTCTCTCTATCAATATCAACAACCCGTGGTTTTTTTACAAACTTTCCGTTATTATCTCGTTCTTGTTTGAATTTATTTTTCTTTTGAGGAAAAAAAGAAACACCTCCATTTCATATGAAAATGTGAAAATTCTGTGCACAAAAAAAAACGCCCAATCCTTAGTCCGAAATTTCCCTTTATACTATATACACCATTTCTGAACATTAAACTGAAAATAAATTCAACATTTATCTTGTAAAATAAAATGATAAAAAACTTTGTCTTTTGTTGTTTTATTTTTATAAAATTTTTACAAAATACATGATATATTAGATGATAATCATCAGACGCGTATACTGTCAATAATATGGAAGTATGGATGCTAAACATTATAGCTTAATTTTTCGCGTCGGTGTCAATATGAGTCAAGTGATTTTTGATATTTAAGACTCTTCCATACGCGTTGAACTATCTGAAACATTTATTATTCTTGTGAAAAAAATTCTTGAAAACTAAACATGAGCGCATCCAGAGCTACCCTGACCGAAATGGTAAGTCCCGTGAATGGTATTTCGATTGTAATATTTAACTACTAATCTACCGTTCGATTATTAGTCCTTGTCTCATACTTTGAGTAACGGGAAAAATGGTCTTATCTTGGGTTTTTGAACCTAAATCGCGATGTCTCCTTTTCGAATGACTGTCGTGAACTTAACAGGTACTGGGCTGTTCACTTTCTAGAAGTCTTCGGGAACTTTTGGATTAAACAACCTTTGTAGCTCTGAAGGAAAAGGTTTGTTTTTTTTTTATTTTGCAAAGGAAAGGTAACTCCTAGTTCACTTTCATATTAGAGGGTTTGACTCAGGAGAATTACTGGGTTGACAACCTTGGTATCCACTCCAAGCTCTCAATTCAGGCGCCCTAAATTTGTTGTTGGTAAAGGCCCGTTAGTTCTAGAGGAGGAACTAGCTATGTCCTTCCCTTATCACTAAATAAAAAAGTTAGCACACTATCACATTGCTAACAAGCTTCTTTCTCACAACAGGTAAAGACAAAACGTTCACGTTATGCGAAAGAATTACAAAAATACTGGCGGGGAGTTATCAAGGAACGCGAAAAAAGAGATGTTGTTGCATCTCCAAATCTTGAACTTATCAACTTCTGTTGCGACGTTCTTCGTGAACTTGAAAATAACTCTTGTGCTATATATTTTATAAATATGTTGAAAAGGAGGTTTCAGTAAAGCATCCGATGTATTTATTTACTATAAATTCAAAGTTAAAAAAAATAATTACAAGTAAAAAGAATTCGAGAAAGATATTCGTTTAATATTTCGTAATTGTTATACATATAATTATATGTTGAAAGTGAGATTTATCAATCGAAAAATTAGAATCTATTTTCAACATAACTTGGACTGAAAATTTTGAACAAAAGGAAGAGCAAAAGACTATGCTGACGCAGAATCTTCTGGTAAGTCATGATGTTTACATTACCTTTTTGCATTTATGTTATTAACTCGTGTTCAATAACCATCCATTAGAACAATGGAAGAAACAGAGCCGAATCCTAGAACAAAAAAAGGATAAGGCGGTGTTCTGAAATGTTATCGATGATGGCCTCCGTGTTGCTTCGGCACATAAAAACCTTTATTGCTGGAATGTCGTGCCCTTTATTAAAGTCATCAAAACCTTCCTACGAACAAGGTCGCGCATGTCGTTATTCTCAGCGAATGAGCCTGTCCTACAGGAAATTTTCGAGAGTCTTCTACCTTCAAGATATCGCATCCCAGAACTTTTCGTTGGTAATGGACGGCGTAGGTAAAAGTCTCTTTGGTTTTTCAGACGTCTTTGTCATTAGTGAAACTGGGGGAGAACAATATATGTTTAGAGTTGAAATATGTCTACGTTAAATTCATCTCAATCTGGTAGCCAACTAAATTGTCGTAAAACTTTGATAATCCATATTATAGCTTTGGTGAAGTAAAAAATCCAAATTATGTAATTAAACCACTAAAACCAACTCGTAAGCCTCCACCAATACCGTCTCCAAATAAAGCTTTGCCTCAACCTCTTGAAATCATCCCCGAAAGGACAAAATATATCAATTCCTTCACTTAATAATAATAATTCTACATCGAGTCAACATATTCCTAGTTTAGGACAAACTAGTGTGCAACAAAGAGTGCTGGTTATCATCAACGATTCCAAACTTCTGACAGTAGTTTTTCTCAATTGGGATCAGGAATTGGGTCAACTGGGTTAAATAATTCAATGTTTAAGAAGTACGGTAACATTTGATAGATACTTTTTGGATGGAAGTTAAGACCAATCCTTTAGGAACTAAAGGAGTATTAGCTGAAGCATTTGCAACATTAATTAGAGTGTTATGGAATGAGCAATATAATTTTGTTTCTTCTGTTACATTCAAAACAGCAATTGGTCGATTTTCATCACAATTTTCTGGTACAGAACATGATTTTCAAGAATTTTTTGCATTTTTATTGGATGGTTTACATGAAGATTTGAATCTTATTGTGAACAAACCAATATTTCCTGATATGACTCCTGAAGAAGAACAACAAATGGTACAAATGGAATGCATTTCTCCGCAGATTGTATCAGAAATAAAATGGGAAAATTTTCGGTGGTGGTTAGTCTATTTCAAGGACAATTTCGTAATACTTTAAGATGTTTAACTTGTAATAAGACATCTACAACTTATAATGCATTTATGTATCTTTCCTCCAAATTATAATGGAGGGTGTGTAACTTTACATCAATGTCTTGATGCTTTTATTAAGGAGGAAATATTAGATGGAGATGATGCTTGGAACTGTTCTAGATTTCGATGTCCTAGACGGGCAATAAAACAACTTAGTATTTCAAGGTTACCAGATGTTTTGTTGATACATTTAAAAAGATTTTCATTTAGTGGACCGTTTAGAGATAAATTGGAAATTATGGTTAATTTTCCTATGAGATTTAGATTTAACATCATATGTACCAATTCCTATTGAGAAACCTACGTCAATTGGATGTAACACTCAACACGAATTACCGGGCACAGGAGCTGGGAATCATAATTCTCTACAACAATCTGGACCTTTTATACAGTATATGATTTATTTGCTGCTTCGAATCATTATGGAAGGTTAAATGGTGGACATTACACTGCTTGTGTAAGAAATGGATAAATACATGAATGGCACACCTTTGATGATAGTAGGGTATCAAAATATGACGAAAGTAGTGTTGTGGAGAATATAATTTTACTTTAAATTTTTTTTTCCTTATAAAAACGGGAAAATGCTTATAATATAATTGCTTTCGTGTATATTGACAAACTGTTACACCAACATAAAGAATGAATTTAAATTAAGTTTGTGAAACGTGAAATGATGAGTCACGTTAATAGAATGACCAATGAGAATTAATAGTTGAATTTATGTTAATCAACTAGCGATTTGTTTTTTTTCCAGTATCCACCACATATTTAATGCATCTCAGAAGCGCATGTGTCGTACAAGTGTAATGCTTCATATAAGGAATGATGATTGTGATGAGTAGATTAATTTTTATAATAAAAAAATATAAATAATTGATTTGATGATTTTACAGTGCTTTTTATAGATATATTTTTTTTAATAGCAAATTATGATTTTAATTAAACAATTTATTTAATAATATGATCTTAAATGTTCAAAGGTATTAGTCAGTTAATGTAATACTTTGTTATTTTAAAAAATTTTTAAAAATTATAAGGATTTAATTGTGAGATGCCTTGTAATCTTTGATATTATCATGAATGCTAATCTGTCAATGTGAGAAATCTTGACATAATTCCAGGTAGAATATCTGTTAAAAGCGATATAGGTTTGACCTATAGTATAGAAAAGATATTTTGATCTAGTAAAAGTAGCATTTGATAAAGTTAAACCTTGTGTTTTGTGAACTGTGAGAACAAAACAATTCTGTAGTGAATATTGAGTTCTATGACAGTTATTCCCATATAGTTAAAAGTAATACATTTGCTTGTAAATAGTTGTATTTATTCTTACAGAAAATGTGATTTGAACAAAGTGATTGATAAGGTTTAGATCTATAATAATTCTAACTGTTTTATTACTTATATCTTGTTCAATCAAAGAGTTCTAAAGACATATGATACAGGTATCTTATTAAAACCTTACAGAAGAAAAGAGCTTTTAAAAAAGAAAGTATCCTATAATGTGAAATTTACTAAATTATAGCTTGAGATATAAGGAATTTTTTTTAGAAATGGGTAAGGTGTTACCAATTATTTGATTAATTTGCTAAGTATACATTTTCTCGAAAAAAGCTGACAATATTAGTAATATTGAGAAGTATATCAATTACTGGATATGTTAAAATTTAAAGTATTTTTGACTGAATATTTGTCACATTTTAATAGACATAGTATCTATTTAAACTCTTTATAAGATTTGATAGAATCTGCTATCAGATTGTTAATATTGTGAGATTATTAAGAACAAAAGATAAAATAAAGTTTAAGTCATTAAATAAAATACAGATTAACTTATAATAGGTGCTAATTAAATAAGATCACCTACTATAATTACATTTATTCTACTAAAGAGATAGTATTATTATTAAAGTTAACAAAAAATTCAGATATAAAATTAAAAAGTTATGCTAAAACTATTAATATTTCTTTTATGATAATAATATTGGTCTTTTTTAATGATTGGTTCAATTCTTTATTTGTATATAAATGTAATCATGATTTGAAATAATATGTAATATAGAATGAATAATCCTTCATCTTATATTTTAGGCACTAGTAGGAGTTAGTAAAAGATAATTAGATCTTTTTTGTTTAAGAGTATTTATTAACCGATTTATGATATAGGATTTACCTATTTCTATAAAAACTGTAATAAAATAATATAACTATTTAATTCTATCATTTAAGCCAAATTATAAAGAATTAGTTAATAATACATAATATTGATCTTCAAGTAGGTTAAGTATAATGGTTTTAGATAATATATAAGAAAGTATTTTAATATATTCTAATTATAATTTTATGATATTCTGAATTATCATTAGGAGTTTTTTTGTTTAATATTTCAGTAAATTGATTATTAAGATATGTAATATGTAAGTAATAATTCTTAATTATTTATATTTGTAAGGTTGTTAGAAAATAAAGACAAGAATTTTTGTCAGTCTATTCATATTCTATTAAATCTTATCCTATAATCAGATTTATTTTTTACAAGTACAGTCAAAAGAAATTTCTGATAGAAGTATAATTCAATATCTTTAAATTTAAGAAATGATATCTTATTCTTATTTAAAGTTCAAATCAGATTAGATCAACCTGTAACTTGATCTAATCTGATTTGATAAAATTCAGGTTAACCAATCAAATTAAACGAAATAAAATATTTAAAAAAATTTTTAGATTTATTTATTTTAAAACATTAATTTTATTTAAACTTTCTTAGGGTTTCTCAAAATCGAATTGAATCAAATTGAATCAAATCAAATTAGATTGATCGAATTGAATATAAATTTTTTTTTAATTTTAACAATAATATATTAAATAAATAGGGTTCCTCAAAATCGAATTGAATCAAATATTTAAGCAATTTGAATTTGATTTGATTTTTTCAAATCAAATTGAATTGAATCGAATTGAACTTAAATATTTGATCGAATCTATTTGAATTGATTTGAATTTGATCGAATCGAATTAAATTGAATCAAATATTTGTCAAATCAAATTAAATTAAATCAAATATTTGATCGAATCAAATTAAATTAAATTAAATTAAATTAATTAAATCAAATCAAATCAATCGAATCGAATCGAATATAAATTTTTTTTAATTTTTACAATAATATTAAAATAAAATTATTCTAAAGTTTTAATTAAGAAAATTATTAGTAATTGCAATAAAAAATTTCAAAGATAGCTTTTACAAAGTAAGATTAGTAACAGGTGAATTTTTACTATTAAATTTAATAAAATAACTATGCAGTTTCAGTTTTACTAAGACAATTTAGTAATAACCGTCATCATAGCTTCAGTTTTACTAAGAAACTTAGTAATAATCACTGTAAACGAATAAAATATGATAGGACTTACGTGGCGCAGATAATTGACAAATCTAACAGATCTGACAAATCTAACATATCTGACAATTCTGACAATTCTGACATATATAACATATCTGACATGATCGACAAATACGATATATTCGACAGATTCGATATATATGACATATCAGACATATTTGACATATACGATATATTAGACATATTAGTTATATCTTTCTATATACTGTATTCTATATAAATAGACAGCTTTTAGACCATGTAAAAAGTAGGATTTGACAAGTCAGTTTTTAGTAGTTTTAAGAGGCAAACAGGCCTATTGTGTTATATTTTAGTTTTATACTTTGTTTCTTTTCTTTTCTTTTCTTTTATCATATCTTTATTTTCTTTATTTCTATTTCTATTCTTATCAATAAACATCTTACTTGAAAATATAATTACTCGATACTTTGTGAATTGTTGATCATAAAATACTCATATAAACCTTAACTTAAAACCATTACTTAAATTAGTCATGATAATCAACTTGTAAAAGTCTTAAGATTACTATGCAATTAAAAAGAAATAACACTCTGACACCCTGTCTAACAGTTGTAATTCGCAAGAATTACACATTAACAATACCATTTTTCATTGATAAATAATTATAAATTTATATAATAGTTAAATATGATAATTATTTTTTTTTAAAATTATATTTTTGTTTTTATTTAAATAAATAAAGTTAAAATTTAATATTTTAAATATAGACTAATATTAAATTTTA